TCTAAGCTTAATAGCACCCCACATATAAGCATGCCTGTTGCGCTTCTGGTTTTGGTAGCTCTGGATATAAATATCTCAGTCATCTGAATGTAGCAGTCCATGCATTTGATGAAGTGAGCTCTGGCTCCTGATACCTTATGCCACAATAAATTCATTTAAGATTTCACAAGATTCTTTCTTTTGTTGTTGGCTTTTATATTTTAATCAATGGTATTTATTTTTTATAGCTCCCTTATGAACTTAGGCTAAAAGGAGTGCTAGAAATGTCCAGACCCACCAGACTTAATAACCATGATTTGCCATGTTCTCCCAGGCTCCATGATCCCTTCAAGAGTCCACCCTGGCTTTGTCTATGACTGTCTGAATTTATAGATTTCTCTTTGCCCCAGGATCTACCCAACTTCAACCTCTGATCCCACCCTGAAAGAGCACAAGAGCTTTTAAATGGAAAAATCTTTTCTGGTTTTGAGTTATGGTGCCATTTCATAGGATTCGTGAAGAGTTTATTTAGAAAGATAGGAACATTTTATAAGCAAAGAAGACAGCTTAGCTGCCTACAAGCACAAGCCTTCTCAGCTGAGCATATTGCTTGAACAGATTCTTCATAAACATTTTGATTTTGCTTATTCACTCATGGCCATCTTCCTTTCCATTTCCCAGTCAGGTCCTATATTTTTAATTACCAGAATGAGATTGTGCAGAGTTTTATTTATTTTTAATTCAACATTTTCACTTGAATAAGCTGTGATCTAAGGGATAAAATCAGCAGTTAAATGGAACTGGCCATTACTAAACATATTTGTAGCAATGACACCACAAACAATAAACACTTTTCAGTTCAACAGCTATTGTTTTGCAGTGTTATAGAAGCTACATTCCCAGAACTATCCTTTCCTTCACTTACATCAGGGGAAAGATGCAGGACATTGACTATGGCCCCGGTCACACGGGCCGGATTGGGGAGGCGTGGCTGTTTGCCCCGGAGTGAACTACCGTGCGGCAGCGGGATCAAACGTGGTGGGGGGGAGGGGCCAATCATACGTCACTCCTGCGGCGCGGCAAAGAAGCGGATCGGTGTTTGTTTGTTTTTTTAAACCCAAGTGTTCACATGCTCCATTGGGTGCTTGTGCGCATCCCGTGGAGACTTGAAAAAAACAAATCCTTTTCGCGACGGGACATGGGCGGGCACCGGATGCCACCGGAAACGTGATCAGACGTCTGCCCTTGCCCCACGGTTTCCGGAAACTAGTACCTCGGAGGTACTAGTTTTTTACCCCGCATCTTTGGCGGGTAGCCTCGGGTTCGCCACGGGAGCTCTACGCTTCCCAGATGTGGCGGTGTGATCGCGCCCGGAAAATCTGCCTATCTTCCGTCTCTGTAGCGTGGCTAATGCTCCGTGTGACCACAGCCCATGTCCTTTTTGTCAGTGGACCCTGGCTAAAGGCCTGTATTGGTGCTAGTATTGTACCCATGTAATGTTACACTGGAGTAACTGTTAAATTGGAGCCAACCACCTTGAACCATGCAAATGTCATATCCTCCTGTCTCTTTTGACTGCTAGTGGGATAGTAACCAAGCAGTGTATGTGAATATATGTGTGAGTGAAGTAGGGCCTGCCTGCACAATAACTTGAAAATGGCATGAGATTAAGGGGGCTGTTTAAAATGACAGTTCCACTGAACTCAGTAGTACTTATTTCCAGGTAAAATGCTCAGTTTGCAATGAAGTCTCCCCGCCCCCCCCGGGCTAGAAGAAGATAATTGAATGAGGCTTTATTAGGGAGTGGAGTTAATTTGACCTCTATTGACTCTATAGACAGCACACGACCAATCTTAAGTGGGTCTATACAAAAGTAAGCTCCATTTTATGAACTGGGGCTTACTCCCAGGAAGGTGTTTTTAAGATTGCTAAAACTCAGCTAAAACTAATTCCCATTATTGCTCATATAAAGACTGCCATATTTTTGGGAGGCGGGGTCTACGGCACAGTGATGGCGGATGCCTTTCCCAGCTTTCTGGGAAGGCATGCCGTACAGCAGCGCGCGGGGGGGGGGGTGCC